AGGCTTGTGGAGTGCGAATCACGGGTACACGAGGGATCGTGGCTCGTGGAGGACGGATCTGGTGTAATTTCTGAGAGGTTGTGTCCTCGGGGGCGCGAGTGCGACGTAACTTACGAGGGGTTGAGGCCTCAGGGACGCGAGTCTTATGTATTTTATGTGCCCCAGGGAAGTCCAAGACATGTTGAGAATCCTCACATGGGAGGAACACCTGGTGGTTTTCGGGTTCCCCACCCCGCCCCTCGAACGGACGTCAATCAGCACAACCGTGGAACTACACACTACATAATATATATCTTCAACTTTGAAACCAGAACTGGTGCAGGGAGCTTGGATGCCTCGTCCTCGCAGCCTGATGGCCCCACGAGGGGGGCGGCTGTTATATCGATCTTCACGTGCATACGATACGCAACCAACGAACTGCATGACGATGAAGAGGAACGTGTGTTGGGAGGGCGCAGAGATGTTTTTTTCAGCGGTGCTTGGAAGAGGCATTCTCCTGGGAGGGTGTCACGGGGTTGAGGGGGTTCGATGCGCTCCTGCAGCACAGTGAGAAGATGACGTCAGCGGTGCCCGCCAGCGGCGAAGAGCCCCCAGGGACCGAGCAGCGAGAAGATGCGGCCGACGGTGGAGCAGATCTACCCGCACCTGGTGCAGTCGATGCGCGACCCCGTACCCCGGGTCCGCGACACGGTCGCCTGGACACTAGGCGCAGAGGGGGACGAGGAGGCGGCGGAGGAGGGGGCGGCGGAGGAGGAGGCGGCGGAGGAGGAGGAGGAGGAGGCGGAGACGGAGGAGGAGGAGGAGGAAGAGGATGAGGAGAAGGGGGGGGAGGAGGAGGAGGAGGGGGAGCGGGAGGAGCGGGAGGAGCGGGAGGAGCGGGAGGAGCGGGAGGAGTGGGAAGAGGAGGAGGAAGAGGAGGAGGAGGAGGAGGAGGACCAGGAGGAGGATGAACGAGGAGGAGGAGGAGGAGGAAGAGGAACACAAACAAACAGACAATTAACCATACGTATATTATGTGATTCTTATTTGTATCATCAGTAGTATGTTCATTCTTATTCAATATCATTATTGGGCGTGTTATCACTACTAGTATTTTTACCATTCGTATCAATGTTGTTGTAGGTGTTGTTGTTGTGGTTGTTGTTATCTTTATTATTCGTATTAAGGTTCGTGCTGCTATTGATGATACTGCTACTGATGATAACAATGCTAATCCCACTTCTCATTTCCGTACTTGTATATCCATAAAATCAGGAATGCAGAACATACTACGAATCCTGCCGGTACTACTTCTACGAGTCAACATGAGAAGAACAGTAGTAATACTAAGCATACGAATTATACTGCTACTAATAACAAGGCACTATGCTAGCGCGCATGCTAGCGCGCATGCTAGCGCTAATCCTCACACCAATAGTCAGAAGACTAAGCACATTCATTCCAAGCGTAATAAGCATGCAATCAATTATACGGAGTGTAAACGTAACGCTACTAATAGTCATGATAACCACAATAATACGGATACTGACGCTCATAGTGCGACTATTAATAATCTTGTCACGAATACTCATGCAACTACGAAGGTTATTATTAGTAGCCATAATTTCATTACTGGCAATACTAAGAAACAACCACCGTACTGATAATGCTGAGGCTCATAATAATAATGATAGTATTAATAAGATTCATACTCGCATGTATACCAGTAGTAACAAGAGGAGGATAATGAGGAGGAGGGGGAGGAGGGGGAGGAGGGGGACAAGGAGGAGGGTGATGAGGATGATGATGATGGTGATGGTGAGGATGAGGATGAGGATGAGGATGTTGATAATGATGACGCTGCTGCTGCTGCTGCTGATGATGATGATGATGATGATGCTGATGCTGATGCTGATGCTGATGCTGATGCTGATGCTGATGCTGATGCTGATGCTGATGCTGATGCTGATGATGATCACTCTGATGATGATGAGGAGGAGGAGCAGGAGGAGGAGAAAAAGGATGAGGAGGGGGAAGAGGAGCGGGAGGAGGAGGAGGACGAGGAGGAGGGGGAGGAGGACAAGCGGACTCCTTCCGCTTCTCCTCCTCCCACTTTCTTACGGGGCTAGGGCGAGGATAATCCGTTCCAGAGCGTTCTGCAACGCTTTCAGAGCGTTCTGGAACGCTCTGAGAAGGCCGTGGCGCCGGCGACATCCTCTTCCTGGCTTTGTCTTATCCTTCCGCTTCTCCTCCTCCGACTTCCCGCCTACACTGCCGCTGCTGCGCTGCATGCTGAGCACGCTGCTGCCGCTGGCCTGCCGTCGGCGCCTCCCCGCCGCGGCCAGCCGCTGCGTCTACCCGCCTCGGTTCGACAAGCTTATGGCGCGGATCCGTGCCCCATGGAGGGCTCAGCTTGTGGGCCCCAAGATGGCCTCCCCACGTTCACTGCAGTGTGAAAGCGTCAACCTCGACCGACGATGTTCCGCAGCACCGCGCCAGAACCACTGACGCGCCTCCTTCGGTACCGTAGCCAGAAGAGGAGCCTTGGGGTCTGTGAGCGCTGCGCCCGCTAAGCCATCGAGGCCACGGACTGCTACTACTGCTTTACTGCTTTAGGAGGAGGAGGAGGCGGAGGAGGAGGAGGAGGTGGAGGAGGAGGAGGCGGAGGAGGAGGAGGAGGAGGAGGAGGAGGAGTAGGAGTAGGAGTAGGAGGAGGAGGAGGAGGAGGAGGAGGAGGAGGAGGAGGAGGAGGCGGAGGAGCGGAGGCGGAAACAGAAACAGACGTGCGGGCCGCAGCCGAAGCGGCATGCAGCGGGCAGCGCAGCAGCAGCAGCGGCGGGAGGAGGTGGAAGGGTTGGAGGAAGCGGGCCCGCAGCGCCGCGAAGATCTCCATAGGAGTGCTGGAAGGAGGAGGACGAGGAGGAGGAGAAGGAGGAGGAGGAGGAGGAGGAGGAAGGGGGAGGAGGATGATGATGAGGAGGAGGAGGAGGAGGAGGATGAGCGAGAGGGACGGGCGAGCCCAGACGGAAGCAGCGCAGCGCGCCAGTGCGCGCATCTCGCTCCATGCAGTGCGGTCGGGGAGGAGAAGGGGGGGAAGGGGGGAAAGAGGAAGGGTGGGAGGAAAGCTGTGGAGGTGCTCACTTACAGGATAGGCAACCGGTCATGAGGATTCTGTTTTAGGCTTGGGGAAAGAAAGACAGAAATACATAAAGGAATACATGAAGAAATCGAGAACGAAAGAGGGAGGGACAACATTCGGTAGCGGATCATGGGAGCCTTGCACGTCTTCGTAATATTCTTGCCTTCGGAGTTCATCAGCGTGCGTTCGCGTCTGGTAGTCGATGCGGAAGCGCCGATTCAGTGTCGATTAGCGTCGGTTAGTGTCGATTTGCAAGAGCCAGCAAGATGGCGTGGAA